TGGATAGATGGATGGATGGATAGATGAAAAGAAATGAACAAATGGGAGAACTGAAGAAAGAGAACAGAAGAAGGAGATGAAAATAACAACAACAAATGAAAAAGTGCAGTGTTGCTTGTTAAAGCTAGAGGCTTTTAAAAATCACACACCGGAACCATGCAACATACTTACATAATATACGAATCATCCGATCGATTTTCTTCTAGTTATAACACTACTGTACTTAATCCTAATTTTATTACTCCTATTTCCCTTTAAATTGGCAACTGYATTCCATAAAGAAGCTATAAGCTTTGCTTTACTTTTAGGTTCTGCTGAACTCGTTTAGAAATAATGCCAACGAACATAATTATATTACTAAGGTAAATAAAAATTATTGAAGCAATTACYACATATGCTTTTCGTTAGTTTACACTCACCTTTGCTCCAAGACTTTGTTTTTTTGCCATAGAAGTATTTAACCGTAAATGAACGACTTTGGACGAGGTTCTGCGTTTGTTTGACTACCAAAAGGAATATATCTCCAGTTCGCTCACATTAAAAAACGTGATGCCGAACGATATACCAACCAATTAACACAGACAAATAAGCGTTCTGTTGTGTGTCCACTCTCGTTGTCTTATTTCGTATAAACTCTATCGAAGACGTGTTTGTTAAAAGTCGGGCTATTTTTCCAATACTTACTATCCTAGGCGGACGCCTGCTAGCTTTATTACCGAGTACGTTAAACGTACGATCAAACCTGTCGCGTGTTTGAGATGTTGAATTCAAAATGTCAGTCACTAAAGAATCCTTGATTGCATAAGAAAAGATGAATAAGTCTTGTTACGGGATACTGTTTGTACTGCTGTCACAAAGAAAAATAAATAAGCGTCACCCAAAAAGGAAGCTGCCTAGACGTAGTTTCTCGACTTTTTGTGATGAGCCAATACTTTTTGATCTTTGATGTGGAAATAGCAGGAAATGAAGTTAAAGCGAGAAAGTAATACGTGAGACTAGAAACTCTTTCTCCACAGTTCATGGCGGTTTTTCTTAAATCCGAGACTTTGAAAAACGATTAAACCGGAACTGTAATCATTATTGCAGATATTATAGACGATCCGCGGTGATCAAGATAAGGTAGGATGTGTGCGCAGAACGTGGCAGGGTATTGAATGGCAGACTTACCTYGAAATTTGGGAACGAAAGGGGAAACGTATAGATTAGATGAAGTAATGAATAGATGTAGGATAATAATAAAGAAAGAATGACGAAGGAAAAGAATCGRRRAAAACAGAARAGAAAAGAAAAAAACCGACGTGAAAAACAAAACACGAAGAAGGAAGTAAAGTAAAAGAAACAAACGAACGAAACAACAAACAGCAATGAGACATTAGCTAACAAAAATGAAAAAAATAGAATAACAAATCACTAAAAAAGTAACAAATACAGATAATGAACAAATTACTAGCTAACAAAAAAAAAAATCATAAAATAACAAATTACTAAATGAAATGATGTACAAGATTTTTTTATCCTTCTTACGTGTTATTGACGTCATGTACCATAGCCAACACCGAAGTTGCCATGGTTACAACATCTGTTTGTGGTTTGAATGTTCACTTCATTACGAGTGGGGGGGAGAGAAAACCCGCTTATTACTGTTGTAAACATGCAGTTATAACGTCATTATGAGAGTTATGACGTCAACATGAAAACTGACGTCATTTAAAATATATGCTTTGATTAGCACATAATGACGCCATTAAGAAGATAAAGATGCCACCACAAAAATTAAGGAAAGGATATCTTGGCTTCTTTATCAAGTTAATGACGTCATCATGAAACTTAARGTCATTATGATGATGACGTCATTATAACAACAACTGATAGTTTCTAAAAGATTAAATATTTTYTTCTGGTTGATCTTGTGTTGCTGTACCATCAGATACCCGTAAGTTGTCCCTACTTCTACAGCACAACAGACGTTTCAGATGACGTCGAAACTGGTTGTTATGGAGACTGTACAATAAAGGGTTGAACGCTGAATTTAGYGAAACCATAGCAACAGAGGCAGGGTAGGCCAGGTTACCCTGAGTTAAATGAGGTGCAAAAGCTGCAAGATTGAAAATCGTTAGTTCAGGAATCCAACAAAGTGTATACATGATACTGACAGAAAGAACCATTTTAGTGGCTTTCCTGCGCCGAAGTCGGTCCCGTTCTTCAYTGTGACTGGTCCGCAGGTTTTGCTTCTTAAACCACAAGGCATAGACAACCCTTGAGTACAAAATAAGCATGGTAAAACAAGGTACAAATCCAACAGTGATGAAGGACAATGCTGCATACACTTTAAACGAATATTCTGCAGGCCATTTCATGTTGCAAACCCCTAATTTTTCGTCATAATACTTAGTAGCAAATCCATTGACATTCCACGCTAAGGCGAAAAGCCAACACAGTGTTACGAGGAATTTGAGGTGTCTTTTGATGAAACTAAAGCCATAGCTCTGTGGGTTTGCAACAGCGTAGTATCGTTCTATAGCTATGGCGAGAAGAAATATCGACGAAGCATATCCTCCCATCCATGCAAGTGTTTCACCGGTTATAAACAAACAGAGGTAGTGTCCAGCTTGTCCTGTAGGATGCTTAAAAGCTTGACCAAAGACAAACGTAGGACTGAAGAAGATTAAAAGTATCATGTCGGAGATAGCRAGGTTGACGAGGAGATAGTTCATAGGTGTTCGCATGGGTCGGTTAAGAAGAACRACAAGACAGACCAGTAAGTTRCCTAACDTCCCGATTGTAATCACTAGGGAGAAAAATGTGGTAAGAACRATGTAGCCAATGTCCACCATTGTCTTGCAGTTGAATCGTGAAGATAAGATTCTGAGAAGAAATAARAATAATGATAAACAATTGCAAACTAAACAACAACAACAATAAAGCAAAACAAAATATTTAACTTTATCTTTAGCAACTTCCTTGTACGACCAAAAACTAGTCACCTGTTGATTTTTACGAAGAGAGGAAAACCAGAGAACCTGGAGAAAACCCTTGTGGTTAACGCGAGGGCAAAGAAACTGGCGCACTTACAACTGCGGTTGCTTTGACTCTAGCCAACCTTATGTCAGCATTGAAATAATGCCCAAAAGTGTAATAAACATACCTGGAGTACAACACAACAGCTGAAGTCMGCCTGGCTGGAGCCTTCAAAGAGAGGGGTTTTGTCTAAGTTAAATGCTGAGAGAAAAGAATATTCTTTAGTAAACAGATAGCAAATTAAAGTTTTGCAGTCAGAAGAACTAGTTTATATCGTTTTAAATTTCTGCGTTGCTAGATTTGAAATCGTTCTCAATAAAACTGCAAAATGCATTGCCACTCATATGCGTGTTCATAGTTGATAAGACGAAAAATTTTTAATTAAAGAAAAATCTTTGCTTCAATTCAACGAACACCTGTTTTGATGACGTATCGTATCGTTAATGTATGTTAAAGATAAAAACAAATAAAGGTTTTTGAAAATATATATATAACCTATCGAAAAGGTGTGAAAGATAAGCGACCAGGTTTAAAAGACAGGCTTTTAATCGAGGAAAAGAAAACCGTCGTAAAACTAAGTAAACAAAGCTTTAAACACAAGTAAAACAAGGCGAAGAAGACGATRTTATTTGTAATGTCCTTACTTTTGGTTGACTTTAATCCTTATGTTTTAACAAACGTAAACAATGTCTTTTTCTTAACGAAACTGTCACCAGTATATATAACTGAATTTGATATCAAGTTTTTTAACTTATACTTGGCTATTTATTTCAAAAACAGAATAAATCAGGAAAATTTACGAAAAAAACAGTAYTTATAGATAATAACCAATTAGAAATCTAGTTTACCATGGGTAATTCTTAATCCTTGTGAATAAATGTATTTATCATATAATTATCCATAAAATACCTATATTTYTCCTTTTCGAAAAACTGATATTTTCACATGTGAAAGTAACATGTTATTTTCACATGTGAAAATATCGTTACCATGTGTATTTAAGCTATTAGTTTATAAATAARAACTTTTTATAATAACAAAAAGCTTGTCAAATTGATTTCATGGATAATTATATAATAAACAGAATATGGCTGCGCTCACTCGTGAGAGATCTTTTCAACACTCGAAGATAAATTTTCTTATCTCGGCGCGCCCATGTAATATCCTCTATATATAAAGAACAAAATATCGTAATAAATAAGGTTATGAATATTTTTAAAATTGTTGATATAATTTTTTCAAAAAAGCATTAAATAAGGTGCTATTCAAAATAAGAGTAGCGAACTAAAAAGAAACCTTTCTTGACAAGTCAAAACTATTGTAATTGCTTCCGTATAAACCCCTTTAAAAGCCCAAATTAAAGATTTAATTTTCTTATCACAAAGTTTTCGTAGTTTAAGCGTACTCACAATTTAGAAGTGATTATGCTTAGCAATACTAAGAATTCTAGAAGAGTCTCTCTACGAAACTCGTCGGTTTTGAACTACTAAATCTTAATTTAAATTACTTCAGTGCATTCTAGTTGTATCTTAACGTAAATTAAATAAACGACCAAAGAGAATTTCCCAAGGATAGAACGAACACATGTAAAAATGTTCTAAAATTTTATCTTTCATTTCCTATATTTCTGTCAGCTGTAAACGCGAGCAAAATAAACGTAATGAGTGTATTCACGTTTTTGTGAATTGAAGGTTAAATTTCACAAGTGTTCAGTTTTTTTAGTAGGAAGAAGTGGAATTTTTTAGACATCATTTATGTATTAAGTTAYCTACATTCAACTAAGATAAAAGCTATACCTAGCTTTATGAATAACAAATAGTTTTGGAGTTAGACTTACCGATGACATCAAGTTCTGGCTTCTACACCGACGCGAAGAAGAGATGGCTTTTGCAGAGTGCTTAGTAGAAAACGAAAAAAGCTTTACAGCTGTCTTAGCTTTGCTAAGTGTTTAGATGTGACAAGGACAAGGGTTCAGACGGATACAGTAAGGACAGTGTCGTTCAGAATGAATTATTTGAAAGAAAGAAAGAAAGAAAGAAAGAAAGAAAG